TATGTTATGTTATGTTATGTTATGTTATGTTATGTTATGTTATGTTATGTTACATTATATTCTACAATACCAGCTGTTGTGGCTTCCAGTGTGGAAATTTGTTTCTCTTTTGCTGTCTTCTACTGTTGTCTTCACCTTCAGAATACCATTGTGTAACTCTTGGTTCTGGGAGGAATAAAGTGAACACATACTAAAACATTCATTCTTAGAGCTTTTTAATTTGTTTGAAAGTTGCAGTTCACAAGAGATTAATCTGTTAACTTTTTGACCTTTTAATCTTTGCAGTATGAATGTAAAGTTATTGCTGAAAAATCTCATCAAGAATGAAGAGGGCAGCCATCTTAGCTGTTCTGTGAAAGCCATGGGGAAGCAGCATGGGTGTGAGAGGCACACCAATGGAACTTTGGACTGGAAAATTGCAAGAACACAGTTTTTTCTTGATTGGTGTGTGTGTGTGTCTGTGTGTGTGTCTGTGTGTGTGTCTGTGTGTGTGTCTGTGTGTGTGTGCACGCGCACGTGAATGTGCATGCGCAACACACATGTTTTTGCAGTCTGTGATTGCTTCTGTAAATCAGTTACCAACCTTTCGGTATTTGATTTCAATAAATGTAAGATATCTGTGCACTACATGAAAGATATGTTTATGAGTACATGAGATTTCTAAGTTTTTTGAACATCCCATACATTGTATCACAATGTTGATGTGCCAAACTGTGTTGTTACTGACACAGAGAATAAGAATGCTTTGAACAATTTAGAAATTTAGTGAAAGAGAAAAAGAAAGCTAAAAACAAAGCAAACAGAAAGCAAATGTGTAGCTGTCCGTTCCCTCTCACGGGCTGGTGTCGACATTTTCCTGTTTCTAATCAGCTGTGTTCGTCACAGCACCCACATACGTGTTTTCTCTGTTGCTGTCCTTTCAGATTTTGAATCTTATTATACGGTACCAGTGAACTTCCATAGAATGGTTTTAAGCCTGCATTGCTGTAGGGAACCAAAGAATACTTTCCAGATTTCTCCAGAAGGATGTGTGTTGGACAGGGGTGTTTATCAGCATCACCCTGCTTTGAGTCTACATTTGGAAAAGTATAAATGACTAAATTTAGGGGATTTGACTAGATAAATATGCTTGGGGATACTGTATGGCCCTCTCTGCCACAGAAGCCAAAGTGGTATTAGTTATCATTTGCTACTGAAACTCACTGCTTTAGTACATGGATGAATAAGGAACACAGGCAGATCAAAGTGACAGTCGTAACCTATTGGGTTCTAGAAAGCAGGCCATGCTTGTGGGGCTGGACCGTGTGACTGACCAGCTATGGCGGGCCTGAGTTTGTGGTCTTCACCAGTGCAGTATGAGGATGCTGGAACCTGACTCCCTGTCACACATCCCATTAACAACACCTGCCGTGTACTTACGGGTTAAGTATATCAGCTGATGCTCTGCTCGCTTTGCATTTTTGAAATTATTGTCTGGCACACAAGGGTAAATTCTTTTGACTACTGTGGTGCACGTGTGCTTCTGTTTTGAGTGTGTGAGCGAAAATGTATACATGTGTCTGTGTGCACATGTGCCCATGCTTTCCTACAGTGTCAAGTAGACATTTTAATTTCTTTTCTTTTAAAGCAGTGCTGTCAGACTGAAATCTTGTACACTGGAGTGTAATGTGCTTTGCGTTCTCAGGCGGAGAGTGTGAACATCCCAAGAGTACTCCATGTGGAATATGTGTACACAAGCCTAATGGTAGTAGTGGTGAACACACTACTATATTTATTATTCTGTCTTTCAGATGTTATTCATTTAGAACAAATAAGGTATATTTTTAGAATCAAATTTGTAAACACTATAAAATCTTTAATAAGTTATAAGGTCTATGATATGTTTACTTTGAAAATTGCTGTTGAAAGCAAGATGTATTAAATATGTAATTATCACCATGTGTTAGTCCTTTTTCTTCATGATGAATATTAGGATATTATACTTGTCTTAGTTAGGGTTTTACTGCTGTGAACAGACACCATAACCAAGGCAATTTATATAAAGGACAACATTTAATTGGGGCTGGCTTACACATTCAGAGGTTCCGTCCATTATCATCAAGGCAGGAACATGGCAACGATCAGGAAGGCCTGGTGCGGGAGGAGCTGAGAGTTCTACATCTTGTTCTGAAGGCTGCTAGCAGAAGACTGGCTTCCAGGCAGCAAGGATGAGCCCATACCCACAGTGACACACTTCCTCCAAGACGGCCACACGTACTCCAACAAGGCAACACCTCCAATTAGTGCCATTTTGTAGGCCAAGCATATTCAAACCACAGTAGGATAGGTTAATCTTATAAAAATACAGGTGGTTGGGTGTGCTAAGAAATGATAAAAGAAACCTCAGGAAATCCATTGGGATAGAATGATTATCAAATAAAATGATAATTTTAAACAAGAAAAGATAATTCTGGCAAAAATGGTTTTTAATATTTTGAACCATACATCTTTCTGCACTTAGGAATATGACAAACTAATGAATATTGTCAACTAGGTGTCTTACTCTCACTGGTTGAACTTGTAGGAATTTGGACCTTTAAAACTGAGACTAAATTCTGAGAAGACAGTGAGATTCCCTAGTTAGAGCCCTCCTGATACTTGACAAAGTTGATTTTCTCCTACCTTTTCATGGGTTCTGAGGCTCCACCTCAGGTTGTCTGGCTGAGGCAAGTACCTTTCCTTGCTGAGCCGTCTCACCAGCCCTCTGCTCTTTCTCTGCTTTAATCTGATACTTTACACTGGGTCCTCCCACACCGAGGCTGGGGGAGCTCTGAGTGATGGAGACATTTCACACATCTTGTCTAATTGAGATATAGATCAATCAAAACGAAATATTTCTGCACTCGTGTGGCTCATTTTCCTGCAGTCTATGTTTTACATAGGACAGTGCTCTGATGTGTTGAGTAGTAGGTTTTGAGCCCCGTGTGTCTGGAAAAGCTTACCAGGCTTTAGAATTCTAGGTCCACCTTTTCTTCCTTTCTGCTTTGGCACTTGTGTGTCTGAGAGTGTGCCAGTGTGTGCCACAGCACATGTGTTAGTTCAGGGGACAACTTACAGAAATTGGCTCTCTACTTGTACTGTGTGGGTCCCAGTGGTCAGATTTGGGTGTCAGCCTTGCTGGCAAGCATATTTACCCCACTGAGTCATGTCACCAGTCCCTCCCTGGAGATTTTCAGTTCCCTGTCTTACGTTGTCTGACCCTGCAGAAGATGAACCTGTTGTCAGCATAATTCTTGGTTTGTAGGTAGGCATATTGACTCTGGGTGTTTTAACTTGATTTTACCCTCAAGACTTTTTCCCCCCCCCACTCTGGTTTATTTAGTTTTAGATTCTTAAGTTTTTTTGTTTTTCCTTCTAACTTGGTATTCAGTGTGCAATTTCCTGACTGGCTTCTCTGCAAACCTCTGTGGGTTTAAGGACATGTTTATCTGTTTTTCCAGAGCTAGGCTTATAAGCACACACTACCATGCCGTGATGTTTGTTACACGGTTACTGTGGATCCGCCTTATGGCAAACACTTTACCAACCAATGATATCTTGTAGTACTTGCCAGCATTCCGAAGGCTGAGGCAGGAAGATGACCAGTTTTAGGTGAGCCTGAGCTATACAGCAAGAACCTGCCTTAAATAAGCAGATAAGCGAAAAAGAAAATATCTCATATACACTAATACCTTTGAGCAAACCTTACGGTTTGGATCACTGTTGGGAATGAGGCAGTGGGCTGGAGAACTTTGATACAAAGGTGGAGCTCCACCCAACACCTTCGAGTAGGCATGCTAATGGGCTAGAACAGTTGTTAGTGATGTTCAGGCCGTCAAGGAGCTTGCTAAAGGGAGAGAGGTCAGGGCTCGAAGGCCGTGGGTGTGTCTGTGTCATCCGCAAGAGCTCAACAGCTGAGGAATTTAAACCAATCACAGGAAAGTAGGTTAGTATAGTGAATATTCATGGGTCCAATTGGCACCAGCCTATGTGAAAGACAAGTGGAGGGTCCTAAGGACAGACTGAGAGCTGTGATATGATCCAGACAAAGTGGGGAAGAAAGCTAGTATGAGCAAATGAGGGAATAGGTGAAGTCAAAGATGCAATCTGAAGGTGATCAATAGCCTGTGTGATAGTTCATCTTCATTGTCAAGATGATTTGATCTGGAATCTTGATCTGGAGTCACCTAGGAGGCACAGGTGTGTCATTGAGGGTGTTTGCAGAGACATTTCACTGAGGAACACAAGTCCCAGCTTGAATATAGCTGTGTCACTGAACCATGACTAGGGCCAATGACTGAATAAAAAGAAACAGAACTAAAGCCAAACATCAGTATTCATCTCTCTGTTTCCAGATGTGAATGCAAAGTGACCAGCTGTCCCACACTTCTGGACTACAGCTGGAGTCTATCCTACCACCATGCCAGTCATGTATGATGGTCTACCCTCTGAGACCAAATCAGGATGAATTGGTTTTTGTCAGGCACTTGGTTACAATGAGAAACATTACCAATACACCTCATTTTATAAGATACCTGTGGGGTTGTAGGTAGGCAGGAACTCATGGAACAATTCCAGAACTTGATGAGGTCCAGGTGATGACTGAAGCAACTGTTTACCCAGTTCACTGAGTAGGTGAAGGGGAGCATCAACAGCCATGCACACCGGTTAGGAGATGGTTATAGTGATAGAAGTGTTGCCTCGGATGGGCTCCAGTTGGAAGCAAAGAAAGGTACTCATGTCTTTGTCAATGAGTAAAGTTGTTACCTCTGTTTGTGTGGGATTCCAATCAGGGTTCCTTACAACATTGTTTATTTACTTTGTAAGGTGTTTATCGTAATCCTGGGTCCCTTTCTGTTGCAGTGATGCACACTAACCTGAAGCTTACGAGAGGAAAGGCTTTATTTGGCTTACGTTTCGAGGTGACAGTCCATCAGTGAAAGAGCTCAGCAGGAGCTCAAGCAGGAACTCAGAGGAGGAAACCACGGAGTTGAGAACTGCTTGTTCCCAAGCACCTTCTTAGATAGCTTCCGTATACAACCCCAGACCACTGCCTGTGGCACTGCTGCTACAGTGGGTGGGGCCTCCCGAGTCAGCAAGTAAGACCACATCCTCAGACATGCCCAGAGGCCAATCTGCTCTATACAGTTCTCAAACCAGACTTGCCTCTCAGGACTCTAGATTGTGCAAGGTTGATAAAGCCACTGGACACAGGTATTCTGAAAAAAAAAAATCTACTTAAGTTATCTTTTGGTCCTGTTGACTTTTGATTTAATTCTAGGAAAAAGTGTCCCAGTCTTTGCTGTCATAAGATCCTTTATCATCTCATTTGTTTTTCCTTATAAAAAGCCTTTGAGAGGGTTGAGGATGTGGCTCAGTCGCCTACCATGCACTAAGGCCCAGATTTGATCCTTAGCACC